ACACGCAGATATATGGGGTAGATTATTAGGAGATGTTTTCCCCTGTCGCAAAACTTAACACTGTTCGGGTCTTACTGTCTTTAGCGGCGAATCTAGATTGCCCACTTCATCAGTTTGATGTCAAGAAAGCGTTCCTTCATGGCGATCTGGAAGAAGAATTTATATGGATATTCCACTGGGGTACACTTTTCCTTCACAGCCTGGATTGGTCTGCAAGCTAGAATGATCTTTGTTTGGGTTGAAACAATCACCTCGTGCTTGGTTTGGCCGGTTTAGCGCGACGATGAAGAAATATGGGTACATTCAGAGTGGTGCAGATCACACATTATTCTTATGGCGTTGTCGGGAAAAAATAACTGTATTGATTATCTATGTTGATGATATGATTATTACAGGAGACGATTCAAAAGACATCTCTAAACTCTAAGAAAGACTGTCGTCAGAATTTGAGATGAAAAACCTAGGAGGACTGAAGTACTTCCTAGGAATAGAAGTGGCACGATCTAAATGTGGAATATTTCTCTCGCAAAGGAAGTACGTGTTGGACTTATTAGCGGAAGTGGGGATGCTAGATTGTAAGCCCGCAGACACACCAGTTATTCAGAACCATAAACTTGAGGAGTATCAAGATCAGATACCAACTAACAAAGAAAGTTATCAAAGGTTGGTGGGAAAATTAATTTATCCGTCGCATACTCGACCTGATATTGCTTATGCTGTGAGTGTTGTTAGTCAGTTCATGCATGCCCCTAGTGAAGATCATATGGATGCTGTAATAAGAATACTTTGCTACTTGAAGGGAGCTCTAGGAAGAGGAATTCGTTTTTTGAAGAATTGACACCTTGAAATTGAGGAGTTTACAGATGCTGACTGGGCTGGGAGTGTATCTAATAGGGGGTCAACTTCAGGATATTTTACTTTTATCGGAGGAAACTCAGTTACTTGGAGGAGCAAGAAGCAAAATGTTGTAGTATTATCAAGTGCAGAAGCAGAATAAAGGGGGATGCACAAAGGTCTTTGCGAACTTCTATGGCTTAAGAGATTAATGACAGAACTCGGTTATACTCCTATGTCCGAGATGAAGTTGTTTTGTGACAGCAAGGCAGCCATCGATATATCTCATAATCCTATTCAGCATGATCGTACAAAACATATTGAGGTAGATCATCATTTCATTAAGTAGATACTGGATACCAAAGTGGTTCGGTTTCCGTATGTAAAATCGGAAGATCAACTGGCGGATATACTAACGAAGGCTGTATCGAGTAGGATCTTTTACAATTCACTTGACAAGTTGGGCATCCAAGATATCTATGCACCAACTTGAGAGAGAGTGTTGGAGAAAGATACGATTTTATCTTTAACCTTGATTTGAATTGATTCAATCAAGGATACTCGGAGATAAAGTAGGAGAGTGTAATCGATGTAATCTTGTTTATTCTTTCCTTTTTTGTATGATAAATGCATATATGTACAAAGTGAAAGTAGAGAAAAAAAATAAGATGAAAAAATTGCCCCAAAATACGTCTTCATCGTCCTCGTTTCTCAACAGGATCGAGTGTTCTCATTGATAGATTGGATAGAATGAGAATAGGAGGTGGTCCCTGAGCTAGTTTTAGTAACATTTTTGCTCCAAGTTTGTATTGGTAGTGTGGATTTGACAGCTCATCTCTTACTATGTGCTGAGTACTTCCATTTATTGCTAGAAATGTGGCTTATGTGTTTCTACTCCTACTAATAAGTACACCATGGAGCGACCTTGTTTTAGTGATCATTTGGAAGCAATCAAGTTCATATGCAAGGACTTTTGGTCGGAGGTTTTCGAGAAACAGATAGACAATTTGAAGACTAATCATAGAGTATTGAAACTTTTCGAATCCCTTACTTGCATTATATCTCTTGGAGAGTGTTGTTTGTTGAATATCAATGGCTTACATTGTTTTTGTCTTGTAAGATACATTTCTGTTGCAAGATAATCGTTTTCGTTGGCTTGCTCGCATGTCCATCGTGCCATCACTTGAAATGGGTCAAGAGGGTAACTTCAAGGCAACAGAAGTAATGAGCACGCATCTCTATTTCCCTTGTGGAATCATAAGAGGGACTCTTTCAAACTTTGGGGATTCCTTGTGCTGATTCAGCAGATATTTATGTTGGAATTTGTGATACAATTTCTAGAAACTTCTAGAATGGTCATTTACTAGTGAAGTCTAGAAATATCTAACATGGACAAGATATTTGTGGAATAGATATTTGTAGAAAAGTCTAAATGTATCTAGTGTAATTGATTATGGCTGTGGAGTCCTCTGTAAATAGATTTAATGCTCATTCACGTGGGGTGTATGGGGAGTAGAGCTCTTATAGCCTACATACCCTTGTACTCCTCTACCCATACTCCTCCATCAACTATATTTGTCCAACTATTGTAAAATCATTTCTATAAATTAGTGAAACTATCCGTGTCCCATATACTTTGCCCCTTGTCTATTCCTATACCAGCTATACCACATACACATACACTTGCACACATCACAAAGCACAAACTATCATCGATATCAACATCATTCTTTCGCACGAAATCTCTAAAACTTTACATGATATCAGAGCTCCAAATTCTACAATTGGTATAAGAGCCAGGTTCGTCGGATGGTTTTGGGCGTTTGTCCTTACCATTCTCAACTAAAATCAAAGCCCGAGCCCGAGCCAGAGCCAACAAAGCCAGAGCCGGAGCTAGAGCTAGAACAAAAGCTAGAGTCGAAGCTAGAGCGAGAGCCAGAGCCAGAGCCTACGAGAGCTAGAGCCCGAGCCCGAGCCCGAGCCCGAGCTCGAGCTAGAGCTAGAGCCCGAGCCCGAGCTCGAGCTAGAGCTAGAGCTAGTGTGATGGCCCAAGCCAAGCCAAGCCAAGCGGCGGAGCGCAGAGAAGAGGGATGGCAGTGCGTCCGCGCCACTACCCTAGACGTGCGCAAGGAAGTGTGGTACCTCTCCTGTCCCACATCGCCTAGGGAGGGAGCCTTGGGCTTGCTTATAAGGGTTGAGGAGCCTTAACCTAGTACGACGCGTTTTAAATCCGTGAGGGCTTCGGCCCGAAGCGAACAATATCGTGCTAAGGTGGGGCTTCAGGTCTTTGCAAGTGGTATCAGAACCGACTCCCGACCACATGTGGGCCCGTAGCGAGGGCGCTATGCCAGTAAGGGGTGGAGAGTATGATGACCCAAGCCAAGCGGCGGAGCACGGGAAGGAGAGATGGCGGTGCGCTCGCGCCACTACCCCGGACGTGCGCAGGGAAATGGGTACCTCTCCTATCCCACATCGCCTAGGGAGGGAGCCTTGGGCTTGCTTATAAGGGTTGAGGAGCCTTAACCTAGTACGACGCGTTTTAAATCCATGAGGGCTCCGGCCCGAAGCAGATAATATTGTGCTAAGGTGTGGCCTCAGGTTGTTACAAGAGTGTGACAACCCAAGCCAAGCGGCAGAGCGCGGGAAGGAGGGATGGCGGTGTGTTCCCGCCGCTACCCCGGACATGCGCAGGGAAGTGGGATACCTCTCCTGTCCCACATCGCCTAGGGAGGGAGCCTTGGGCTTGCTTATAAGGGTTGAGGAGCCTTAATCTAGTACGACGCGTTTTAAATTCGTGAGGGTTCCAACCCAAAATGGACAATATCGTGCTAAGGTGGGGCCTTGGGTCATTATAAGTGGTATCAGAGCCGACTCCCGACCGCATGTGGGCCCACAGCGAGAGCGCTGTGCGCAGGGAAACGGGGTACCTCTCATGTCCCATATCGCCTAGAGAAGGAGCCTTGAGCTTGCTTATAAAGGTCGAGGAGCCTTAACCAAGTACGACGTGTTTTAAATCAGTGAAGGCTCCAGCCCAAAGCGGACAATATCGTGCTAAGGTGGGGCCTTGGGTTGTTACAGAGAGAGTCTTGTTTAGGTCCAGGCAAAACAAGAAGAGGTTGCCAAAGCTCTTGAGTTGAAAGTAGGGAATTCAATGTTGTCCAAGCATATATCAAAGACCAAAATCTTGAACTTGCATCTAAAAAGAGATAGCTAGAGTCCATTCAAATTGATATTACATAGTGGGTAGAGCAACTCTGTTAAAAAGAGCAATAGTTTGCTTTCATTCAAATCTCAACTCTTGAATACGCCAAGGCCCTCGAGTCCAAAAAGAAACAATGCGATTTGATGCAAAAATCTATCACAAAGTGCTCTCAAATGCTTGAATCTAAAACAAGGCAGTTGGATTTTGTTTAGAAGAGAAGCAAGGAATACTTCGTAGATACTAAAAGAAAGACAAGTTTATAAGCTTGACGTGTCAATTGGAGAACACTCTCAGGGGTATTAACAATGTTTTCGTATAACTATGTCGGCTCATTTATGCTTTCGTGATTATCGGTGTATCCGTTTGGATAGTTACTACTTGGCAGTGCAAATTTGCTATCGTGTAACTAAGTCGGCCCATTTATGCTCTCTTTTATACTAAAGTAACAACATATGGTAAAAACTTGATTTTTCTATTGACAAACTTATTGTGACAGGTCTTTACCCAAAAAAAAAAAACTTATTGTGACAGGTATCTAGCAAAAGAGCTTCCGATAGAAAAAAAAAAGTGACTTGATAAATCGTCGGTTGATACTTAAATACATGATTCATATTCAAGCGATCAAATATCCGGTACGGTTTCTTTTATAAATCGTTTGATAATCCAATCTTTATAACTCTTTTTTGCAGCATCCTTAATGAGAAAAGAGTTGATGTTAATGCCATGATCCTCTCTAATGATGAAGCTCTCAATTGCAACATCTGGCTTGAGACCGATTGCTTGCCAAAGCCACTCCACCCATTTGCTCGTTCACTGTCATATTCTCGGGAAAGAAGAGGACAGTTTGCACCCAAACGTTCCATCATTTTCTCTGAAGTAGATTTGTTCTCCTCCTCCTTGAACAACCCCAATATCCTCCTAAACCAGATTTTGCCCACTGCCCAAAGTAAAACTCCTTTCTTCACCTTCTACTTTGTTGACCTATAGACCCACGTACAAATTCACATAAGCTTGCCCCTCAGGTAGAGAATTTTCCTGCTACTTTTCTCTGCATGTTGCTTTCTCTGCAAGGGGTCTCGTCTTCTCTCAGCAGGTGACCAGTGGCTCATGCGTTGTTCACAGCAGAAGGAGTATAGCAACGATCATTTGCGTGGCGTTGCTACGTGAGCTTCACTTTCCTGGTGGTGGAATGATGGCCGATGGGTCCAGTTCGACGGTTCGGTTAGGTCGTTGCCCGAGGTGTGGAAATCTGTCGCCTGAGCCCTCCGACAATTCTGTGTACCGGTGTGGTGCTTGCGGTGCATTTCTTAGAGGTAGTTTATCTCTTCTTCCTTTTACTTTTTGGGCCATCTCTGTTTTGGTCAGTTCATTGTTGAGAAATTTAGTATTTGTTTTCTTTTGTTGTGTTTAAAAATGAAAGTAGTTGGTGTCTGAAACTTTTAGGAAGAAGAGGGATTCGTATGTTTGTGCCGTGTCATGATTTGGATTTTCAATGACAGAGAGAACAGACTAAAGTAGCAGTGACTAAATTGGCAACACCCCTCTTTCGATTTAAATAGGAAGAGAGATCTTTTTAGTTATGTACAATACCTGTAGGCGGCTTTTCCTAATTGAAGTAATTTGAATGGATTTTCCTCAGCGAAGAAGAAGAATGCGCTGGCCTCTAATTCGGTATTCTCTTCCACGGATACAGTTTCTGTTAGCGTTTCTGATACGAAGAGGGAAGGGGATACGTCGGATGCTGTCGAGGGCGGAAATGAAACAGTAGTTTCCGGAGAAAGTGATCTTGGTGTAAACAGTAATTCTTCATTAGGGACACAGAAGGAGGATGATTTCAGCGTTGGAGAAAGGAATGGGGACGAAGGAATGGAACTTAAGGTGGATCGGTCAGATGCTGTTGTGGAGGCTGGTCACGGTATCGAAAGTGGACGACCCTTGACGATCGATTTGAACAGGCCAAAATCTATAAACTCAAGCACGGAAGGAGGCCTCAGAGAGGATCCAGCTAATTTGACCCGATATTCTAGGCAGCCAAGTTCGAGGGTTGATGCTGACCAGTGGGACGTGATTGGAGAATGTTTTGAAGGGATTCCTGGGATCTCCAGTGATGAAGTTGGGACGAGTAGGATTCCCTCACATGAATATGTTAATGATGGATCGTTGAATCATCAACCTCGTTCCTACTTTGTGCATGGCAAGTCAGTGAAGAGTAATGTCCACAAATGGGCTTAATAGAGGGGAGAGCTTGGACTTGGATGCCGAGCTCCTGAGAAAGTTGGATGATTTGAAAAATCACATCAGCAGAATCAGTGATACACCCGAGAGAACTGGCGAGACGGCTTTTCTTGATAGGGATGGTCTACCCGAGCCTTTTGATGATAAATTCAAGTATGTGTCTGGTGGACTCTTGACCCCGGGAAAGCCTGTTCTGGCGAACCCTCATTTGATTCATCAGCATCAACAGCATCCTTGCATCGATCGAGATACACATGACTTCTATCTTCCTCCTATTCCTAGGAGCGTAACAACGTCAAGACCTTACCATCAATATGTAAAACAATCTTATCGAGGTCACTTGAATAAGTACATGGATTTGATTCGAGATTTCTCTGCATCGGATTCACGAGATTCCTCCCTTGACTGCAACTTGTGCACCTGTTTTCACTGCCGTCACGAACATGAGCAAGCTCCTTAATCGGTCCAACCAACTCCTTTCGGCACTAAAGGGAGTGTAGGGGTACCCTGTGAATTCCATCTCCTGTCGCCATCACGATCCCATCCAAATTTGGCCTAGTAGTAATTTGGGTGTTCATACTCCCCCTCTGCGATCTCACAATCCTGTCCCAAAGAAAATGGCCAACCGAGAGTATAGGTTCAGACACTGATACCGCCGGTTCTCAGCAGAGGATAATTGCGATTTCCGATAGAAGTAAGAAGCATTACCATCCATTATCAGGTGGCGCTCAATTCATACATGTTGCAAGTGCTCCGAGTTGCTGACACTGCCTTCCAATATAAGTGTGGAGAGGCATAAAAAACCGAACCTGCAATGGGGGTCCTGCTCAACTGTACTCTTGGTTGAAGTTCTGGGCAAAAGGCTTGTCACTTCCTTTGCAAGACAATCATCTTACCTTGACAAGAATGGTTCTCACAAGGCAGTGAAAGAGAAAATAGCTAGTTTGCAACACGGCTTGGGCGTGAAAGGGATAGACTACTCTGGTGATGGTTGTGCCATAGACATTTGCTCTCCTGGTCATGGCAATTCCAATTTCCACAAGAAATATGAAGCAAATGAAGAGTCAGATGACTGGCAAGTGAATATGCAGAAGTATGAGCAGGGTAGTAGTCTAGCTTCATCTTCCCATTCTTCTGAGGAAGAAGATGTTCCCAATGAGGTAAAGCTCGGGACAAATTTATCCACTTCTGCAGAGAACCCATTACTACGGGAAGAGTCTCCCACAGTTCTAAGCTTTACATTCCCCAATAATCTTGATAATTCCAGTTCTAAGGTATCTGAGGATCAATATGCAGAAGAAAGTGAGATTAAAGAAATACATCGGGATTTTCTAGTCCAAAAAGGTGTCCTGAGACAAAAATCAGTGCAGGATACAGCCACAGAAGATGAAATCGAGTACTCGCTTACTGACTGCCTTAATACATCTCAAGATTCTTCAGATGCTAGTAAAGAAGCAGATCGATTGAAGACGAAGAAAAGGGACAATTTTTTCTTTCTGAGCCTCATTAAGAAAAGCATTGGAGATTATCAAGATCTAATGAGATTGTGGAAATTGCAAAGCCTAATGTCGTCATTAATGGGCACCCCATAGCCAACCACCTTGTCAAAAAAGCTGAAAAACTTGCTGGGCCTATACGTCCAGGGAATTACTGGTAAGGCCCATGTCGATCTTCATAACATCACATTTTATCTGGCAAGTAAAGTAGTGAGTGCATGTTACGTGTATCTCTCTAGGTCTTCAGATTGGATGAACTAGTGTTCATTGGTTTTGCAATCTACGATTTTGCATGAGGAAAATTTAATCTATGATATCATGGAGGACAATGCATTATCAATCGCAGTTGGTGCTCTTTAGCTTGAATGTGATTACATGACACTTGGTAAGAGGTCGAGTTTTCTTTCCCTTTCGCCAGGTATGATATCCAAGGTGGATTTTGGGGTGTGATGGGCAGAATTTGTCTTGGGATAATTCCGGTGAGACCTAGTCTTCCTCGGCTCAGCAATACTTTTCGAACTTTGATGCACTAGCCGAAACAACGATAGAGATGCGCTATACTTAGTCGTTGGCCATATACTGTGTTCTCTCATGTGACTGTTACTGTATTTCCCCAGCCATTCATCGAGGAGTTCAATTATCCCATGCCGGCGATTGCGCTGCTGGAAACATGGGAATCTTTGTGAATGGGAGAGAGCTACATCAGAAAGATCTGGAACTACTTGCCAGCAGAGGACTGCCGACGGCGCCAAATAGGTTCTACAAAATCGAGATTTCAGGAAGTGTTTGGGATGAGAAGTCCGGCGAAAAGCTATGTAGGCTTGGAAAGCTTGCGCCGACATAAGTCTTACAAATGCATATCAGTTGATGGGCATCTTTTAATAATCAAATCAATTATAGCACTCGTTAGATTTGGAATTGTCTTGGACTCTTGATAAGTGTTGGTCACAAATTCAGTTACCTTAACTAGAAGGGGCCAGAGAAAAAACCATTGGCCTGGAGTCTGATGTCGCCAATAAAACTGCAGCACATCTGATTTACATCTACATTACTCATCCAAAAATATAAAACAGAAGATATACATATTACATGTCATTTCTTGTCCTTCTTCGGCAACTGATGTTGTTCTTCTTCTTCCATGCTCCTTTTGATTCTCTTATGATTATCATCTGCTGAGTAATTTAAGGAAATAGATTTAACTTCATTCTCAACTAAAAGGGTGTGCTAGATACCATTAACTAGGGAACTACCAAGAATCGACAAGAATCACGGTGCTAAACATTCGTTTACTGTAAAATAACCAGGCTTGCTGACCGTCTTCTACAACGTAGTGATTAGTACTATTGTAGGGTCCTTCCATGGTCCCTTGAGTCAGGTGTGCGCGATATCATATCTTGAAAGTTCCTTATTATTGGTTTATAGCTTTCCCTGAATCGTTTTTTTCTCACCAAAGCCTTATCTACTTTTGACCTCTCTTGGCAGAGTGCAGAGAGCAAAGCGCGGACTTGGCATGCGCGAGTCCAGGCAATGAAGGGAAGATGCTGTGAACAAGTAAATACACTTTGGTGCTTCAATGTATATAAGATAGTATGCATTTCTTCCCCTCATTCTCAGGTGGAAAGTCAATCATTGTTTTGATTATTATCGTGATTGGATGTTACACAAACCGTGCAAAGTCATGAAATTGAACCAGATTTGCAAGTTTTTTTCCCAATTTAAATCCAATGCTTGCGACTCTAATATGTCCATCTCCGACTCATGATATTCCCAAATGAGCTACCTTTTTTTTTTCCATGTTGGTATTGTCGATGGATTTCGAAATTTCGAGTATCTCCGAATCGAGAAGCTTTCTTCTAACTCTGTTTTTCGATATATCTAGATAGATTTGTACTTTCGCCTTTAATTTAGTCTAGATCTCGCAACGGATGTATTTTGACTTTTTCCTTAATTCAAAATGTCCGAAAACTTTCACGATGTGCATATGTCGATGCGCAGGTTCACATGTAATTTTTTTTGTGATTTTTTGAAATTTGAAAATATTTAAAATTTCAACCAAAAAGTAAAAAAAAAAATCTCTTACTTCCAATCAAGTGTTAATAAATAGGTGTTGGTCTTCTCCTTTTGAACTCCTACTCTTCATTCCTTGAACATGAATATGACATGTTCATGTGAATCTATATATTAGGGGTGAGCAGTTCCAGATTCCGTACAAGTTCCACTTGAAACCTGAAACTTACTCGCTGGACTAGTTCCCTCATTTTTTGGAACTTATAACCTATCCCGCATATCTTTGAATCTTGATACTACCCTGTCACAGGTTCTAGGTCTGTTCCAGGGCCTATTCAGATTTCACCTATATTATCAATTGACTAGCCATAACTTATATTTAGATACACAAAAAATATGAATTATTAACAAAGTAAAAGTCTTAGTCATAAAATGAAACTTCATACTAGTGATTCCAGATTATACACTCATCATCGAACGCCATGAAATACTGCAGGATCGCACGAAGACATGGATCAAGGAAAACACAAAAACTTATTTCAGGTTCTAGGTTTCAGGTTTCATTAATCTAGAACCTAAAACATACCCGTCAAAACAAATTCTCTAATTTTTGAGATCTGGAACCTACGCTGCATACCCTGGAACCTGAAACCTGAAACTGACAAGTTCTATCCTGGAATCATGCTCACCCCTACTCTAACGTCATGACGACCCGACCCTTGATCACTTCGTTAAGTACATCATTTATAATTAATAATAGATTTGTATGATAATTTTTGGTCTTGTTAAATAGTATATCCAAGATACCAATTGAGTTACAAAAATCTAATTAAGTACATCCAAGGCCCGAGTTATCTAACAAAACACTGTTCAAGGCATATTAAAATTGAAGTACACATTTTACGAAAGTCACTCAATAGTTATAAAGCCTATTTAAAGGGCTTAAGAAGTGTCTTACAGGCATTATTTAATATCTTTATTCTGTTGTTCCGACCAAAAAAAAATAGAGTTAATACCACGAAAAATCACAAACTGATACACTTGTGATAGACTTACCCAAAACTAATTTTTTGACAATCAAAAACCTCAAACCGGTACATCTGTGACAAATGTACCCTCTGTTAGTTTCCGTTAAATTTTACCTTCAAATTGCTGAGTTAGATGACATGTAATAGCTGACGAGTATATTAATTTGAGATTTTACTCCTCCGTTTATCACAAATTTACCAATTTGTGATATTCCATGGTATTAATCCAATTTTACGAAAGATAAATTTATCACAAGTGTACCAGCTCAGGATTTTCAGTGATCAAAAAATTAATTTGTGGTAAATCTGTCATAAATATATCAATTTGAGGTTATACAGAGGCTAAATTTTATTCAGACCCTTTTCCCCAATTTTGGACCGAATTACCTGAAATTACTGATTTTACCCAACTGGTCAGGATTTGACCCTTTGGTCGAGGAAAGGCCAAGTCGAGTCGAGCAGCTTCGTGTTTGACTGACCGCCTTAGATTTTTTAACTGTGGCCAGGAAGAAGGATAGCCGCAAAGAAGTGCATGGCGTTGTCGTTTGGTTGATGGCGTCATGCGTGACAATTAATAAGTTGTGTGTGGTCACTTGCGTTTTGCAAATAATCACCTAAATGTGAAAGATATTGTCATGATTTAAAATCTTCATTCTTTTATAAGTATAATCCGTCATTTTTGCATGTATTTTCCTTTCAATCGGGTTAATTGAGTTTCACGTACGTCTAATCAAAATTTTGATGCGTCTGGTTCGGATTTTCCGAAGAACTTTTGGCCTTTAAAGGCCCTTGAGCCAAAGTAAGCATTTCCTAAGTCCAATTACGCAAAGCGACTCCTGCCCAGTATTTGTATTTCGCCATTTTCAGAATGCTATTAAGGGATTAGTGGATTTATTTTCTTTCGACTTTTCCCCCGCTAATATTTTTGTATTTCTGTTTTTCCCTCGCTTTTCTATCAATCTTCTCTCTCTTAACCAAACGCACCCACTATGGCTTCAGATTCTGGTCGACCCGAGCCCCGAGTTGATCCGAGGATTCGCCAT